CATCACAGAAGAGGACTAAAAAAGGAAGAGAGAGAAGAGGAAAATAGTTCATTTACAACAGTAACCCAAATCACAAGGTAACTAAAAATACAAACAAAATGTGCAAGGCCTTTATGGAGAAATTTCCACTGCAGTACTAAAAATTTGAAAAAATAAGATATCCTAGGTTCAAGGATGGAAACACTTATTTCCAAAGTGTCAAATTTATCTAATGATCTATAAGTGCAATATACTTTAAAAAATTCCAAAGGAGATTTCACGGAACCTGACAAAATAAAACTATGAGGAGAATAAGAAAGGTAAGAAGAGATTTGCCTTATCCCCACCCTAGAGAAAGTTTTATTATAAAGCTCTGGTAGGTAATTGAAATAATATATATGAATTTCATGTGTGATGGTGTTAGCATCATGTCCAATGAATGCTCCTGGAGTAACTGGCTTAGCATAAGGAAAACATAAAATTTGATTTCCACCTGACACCACATACAAAACCAAGTTCCAGATGACTTAAAGTCCTAAATGTGAAAAACAGAACTTTAACACTATCTACACCTAGCTATCAACCTAGCTATTCCAATTTTAATAATTTATTATGAGAAAATAATTGGAAAAGGGCAAATAACACAAGCCCAAGAATATATCTTTAGGTCCTTCTATTATTATTCATAATAGGAAAAAAATTAAAAACCTAAATGTACAATAATTAGTTGTGCAAGAATGAACAAGATTTAGTTAAATAAAGGTATAAGAATTAGTTAAATAAAGTGTACAGTATATATAGTTAATAAAACTAATGATGCAGATCTACATTATTGACATGAAAATAAATCCTATAAAAAGTGGATTATAGGGGCACCTGGGTGGCTCAGATGGTTAGGCGTCTACCTTCGGCTCAGGTCGTGATCCCAGGCTCCTGGATTCGAGCCCCGCATCGGGCTCCCTGCTAGGTGGGAAGCCTGCTTCTCCCTCTCCCACTCCCCCTGCTTGTGTTCCTGCTCTCACTATCTCTTTCTCTGTCAAATAAATAAATAAAATCTTTAAAAAAAAAGTGGATTATATATAGCTACAGTAATCAAAACTGGTGCATACCAACACAATCTATTCAATTGAGAATAACAGAGAACCTAGACCCACAAAAATATGTCCAACTTATTTTTGACAAAGGTATAAAAGCAATTCAATGAAAGAATGATGGTCTCTTCAACAAAGGTGCTGGGGCAACTGGACATTCATAAGCCAAAAAACCCAAACAACAAAAACAGAAAAAACAACCAAAAAAACCCTTGACCTGAGTCTTACACCTTACACAAAAACAAACTCAAACCAAATCATGGATTCAAATTTAAAACATAAAACTATAAAACTTTCAAGGGGAAAAAAAAAAAGACAAGAGAAATCTTTGGGATCTAGCACTAGACAAAGAGTTCTTAGACATACCCCAAAGGCATGATCCATTAAAAAAATTAATAGTTTTTTCCAAATTAAAAACTTTTGCTCTGTGAAAGACTTTGATAAGAAAATGAAAGGACAAGCAGACTGGGAGGAAATATTTGCCAACCACATATCCAACAAAGGACTGGTATCTACAATATGTAAAGAACTCTTAAAACTCAACAGTAAACCAATAATTCAATTACAAAAAGGGCAAAAGACATAAAGACACATTTCACCAAAGATGACATTCAGGTGGCAAATAAGCAACCTAAAGTGATCAATATCATTAGAGATATCACTTCATGCCTATTGGAATGGCTAAAATAAAAAACAGTGATGATACCAAATGCTGACAAAGATGCAGAGAAGCTGGATCACTTACATATTGCCAGTGAGAATGTAAAATGGTATAGCCAGTCTGCAAAACAGTTTGGTAGTTTCTTAAAAAACTAAGCATGCAACTACCTAACAACCCAGCAATCGTACTCGTGGGCATTTACTCCAGGGGAATGAAGACTTAGGTTCACACAAAAACCTGTACATGAATATTCACAGATGTAGTTTAAGTCATAATAGCCCAAGACTGTAAGCAATTCGGATGTCCTTCAGTGGGTGAGTGGTAAACATACTGTCATACATTCATATGATGGAATATTATTCAGCAATAAAACATAATCAACTACTGATGTCCAACAACCTGAATGAATCTCCAGAGAATTACGGCAAGTGAAAAGAGCTACTTCCAAAAAGTTATATATACTGTATGATTCCATTTATTTAGTATTTTTGAAGTGACAAAAATTATAGAAATAGAGAACAGAGTAGTAACTGCCAAGGGTTACGGAAGGAGTAGGGGCAGGAAGAAATTCAGTGTAGCTATTAAAGAGCAACAAGATGAATCCTTGTGGTGCTAGAAGTATTCTTTATCACTGTCAATATCCTGGTTGTGAAACTGTCCCATAGTTTTGCAAAATGTTACTCTTAGGCGAAACTGGGAAAAGAAAACATGGGATCTCTATATTATTTCTTACACCTGCATATGAATATGTAATTACCTCAAAAGAGTACAGATAAAATGATCCCACTTTTATCAAATCTGCATATTAATATATAATAATATAGTATCTACATATTAAAAGGGAAACATCTAGAAACAAATACAAGAAAAGTAACTGGTTATCTCTGTTGGTGAGATGATGGGTGATTTTTCACTTTCTTCATACATTTACATACTATCAAAATTTTTTTCATTGCACACACTACACTATAATAGTAAGAAAAAGAACAATTAAAATTATTTTATTATGAAAGACTATACGCTAACTATATATACTTTTTTCCACTGAACATTTTACTATATTAATTCTTTAAAATATAATTTTAAAGCTATTTAAACATTCCATTACATTGATCAATTTTATTATTTCTCTACTACAAGGACTTAATGATTGTTTCTAATTTCTTATTGTTAAAAAAAAAAATCGCAATAGATTCCTTCTACCTGAATCTTCACATGCATCTCTGATTATGACCTCCAGTCATGGAGCTACTGGATCATAGAGTTAGGGCTTTTAGAACACACTGAAACATTGCTTTTCTGTAAAACTATGATTTTATGTCCCCACCATTAGTGTACATGTGAGAGACCATTTCATTCTGTCCTAAGTAGCCTCCAAAGTTGTGTTCACCCTCCAAGCTCCATAGATCAAATGAGTAAGGAAGACAGATATAACTTCATGCAGTCATATCAAGGTTTACTAAATTAACTTCCCCCCCAACCACAATCTTTTATTTTGCATGCTCTAACATGTGTGGGTCTTACTTACTTCTCTTCATCTCCAGAAAGTTCGAACTTCTTAGCCTGACATCCCAAATCCACCTCTTTTTGCCCTGTTCACTTGGCTCTAGTTACTCATACCTCTTTGCTATTCCTCAAGCACATTTTGCACACCTCTGCCCAAATGCTCTTGTTTGGATATCCACAGGGCTCCCCCTACACTGACTTCAGGTCTTTATTCAAATGTCCCCTACCAGAGGGCCTTCCATCCCACCCTGTGTGAATTAGTAACCCTCTTCTCCAGCCTCCCTATCTATATTTATTTGCTCTGTTTTTCTCCCTTTTTCCTGAAACTTAAAAAAAAAAAAAAAAAAAAACCCTACCTTCTACGGCACTGCCATTCCAACTCATACGGACTGTAAGTTTTGTCTCCTTATGATTACAGGAATGAAGAACAGCTCTAGCACAATTTATTTCTAGGCCCTCTCTCCCAAAACCTTCATATTGATGTCCTTTCTCCATCAGGCCTATCATATGTAATCCTATGCAAACAGCCATGATCCAATGCTGGCACTGAAGAGCCCTATTCACGCTGCCCGCTCTGTTCACTACCCTGGGGGTCAAGATGGCTGTTCTTTGCATCCTCCTCTCTACCTTTATGGCACGCAGTCTCTGTGTCCTCTCCTCAGCCAAATCAACAAAGAGATTACATATGATAAGCTAATTCACACTAATGTGTGTTTGATTCAAAAAGTAACTGAGGGAAAAGCAAACTCTTAGAGTTTCTAAGTGTAGAAAGAAAGATGTAAAATGCATGGTTTGTGTTTTCAAGACATCTCTGTTCCATTTATTTCTTCGATTTTTGTCATGTCTTTGATTTTCTCATAGTCTTTCTGCCTGAAAAATCTTATTCCAATTTACCATGATCCAAGTAGCACCTCCCTTCAGTTTGTCATTCTATTCAGCATTGACCTCCTCCCTCTGAACAGCAAACGATGCCTCCTTCTCGCACTCTTCCTAAGTGTTTTTCTACCTCAATGAGTCTCCATCTCATATTGAATTTCACCAGAGTATGGCTTTCTCTCCTTCAAAATATATCTGAAAGCTCCCTTTTCCTTTCCACATATCGCTTCCAGATTGTGTCCTACAGGTATCAGGGATCAGATCCACGCAATTAGTCCTACATAAAATGCTTGCTTTTATTATTATTTTATTATTTTTTATTTTTTTAAAGATTTCATTTATTTATTTGAGTGAGAAAGAATGAGAGATAGCACGAGAGGGAAGAGGGTCAGAGGGAGAAGCAGACTCCCCGCTGAGCAGGGAGCCCGATGTGGGACTCAATCCCAGGACTCCAGGATCATGACCTGAGCCAAAGGCAGTCGCTTAACCAACTGAGCCACCCAGCGCCCCAAATGCTTGCTTTTAAATGTCATTAAACAATTATTTTTAGAAGAAACTCCTTTGAGATGAAAAACATACCCTTAAACAAAGACCACCTTCGTGTTATTTTCCTCTGTCATTATGATAGGTAAATGCTATGTGGTTTGCTTTCTTGGGTTGTGTACTTAGACTTTCTTCATGGCTGCAATGGACTACAAATGTATTTTTTATTTTTAATTTCATTTTTCCTTGAAATATGAAATAAATTAAAGCAAAGCAGTGAAATTTTAAGGAACTGTGCTATTTCAATGGCAGAATAGATAATTTTAAAAACAAACGGTGATACTTCTCTGCATTCTGCATCAAAACTTCCTGAGATACACACAGCCCCAGGAAAAACTACTCACCAGATTTCCTTGCTTTCAAAGCAATAACAGCTGCTAGTTCTCTCTGCACCTAGTAAGATATTAGGGGGAAAAAATAAAATTAGAATAAGAAAAATGTAGTTATCAAAAGCAGTACTTCAGGTTTAGGTATGCACCAAAATTAAGAGTTACTGCAATGAAAGTTAAGTTTGCTGTCATGCTTTGGGGTTTTGTTTGTTTTTAGTATCAGGGAAAAACCTCTGCATAGGAATTTTAGGCCAAAAATCTGGAAGAATCATATTGACTTACTTTCAAAAGAAATTAGACAGTCGTCAGAATGTATACACTGTAAAATATTGGTATTTTTGATACGATTGTGGGAAGAGCCTCAAAATTGTAACTGTAAAACATATAGAAATACTATAAGTAACCAATTATTAAAACATGCATGATACCTTGGCAAAGTTACTAAATATTATTTATCCCTCAACGATTGTAGCTTATCTAGAAATTCTAGAAAAATTAAATAGGTGGTCCTGGTGTAACTGGGTCTCTACTCAAACACTATCAATGCTCATTTGAAGTCTGACAGGTTTACGGCAACCATTTTGGAAAATATGCCCCAGAAAAGCAAGTGCCATCGACTCACAGGGTAGGTGAAATGGGAACAGACAAGACGGCCTTTAAAATCCTAAGTGCCTTCAACCCCACTTATTTGTCTGCTTGCTCTCTCTCTCCAACCCCCTCCCCCAAATCTGAATGCTTAAATCCTTTCCTAAAAGCATTCCCAAAGAGGACCATAAAACAGAGACAAAAAAGATAATCATAGTCAATTTCAAAGATAAGATAAAAAAAAAAAGATACCATGAAGATAATCTTCGGGAAATCTATGTTCAGCAACAATAAAAATTCCATAATGAACAAGCTCATTCCTCTCTAGGACAGTCTTTTAAGCGTAGAAGTACGAATGCGTTCAGGTGTTTGGAGGTGCTGGTGAGTTTGGAAGTGTCCTGCAGCTTATTACACTAATGACATTTTAAAGGGAGAATACTACAAGTTCAAGGTTACATAAGACTTGCCATTGAAATTAATCTAATTTATATTCATTTACTTGAAGGCGAAAGTAGATCTATATGCTAGACTCTGGGTCCCCGCTGCGGACTGCTCTCACAACAGCCACGATCATCGCCCCTGAGGAAGGCAGCTTCCCCCACCACTGCTTTACTGCTGTGTTGTCCCCGCCTGGCTAATATGCATGCCATGCAAAAGGGCATACTCTTCATTTAGCCCATTCTTTGATACCTTCAGACTCTCTCTCTCTGGAAAATTATACAGTAATGAGAAGGCCATTCAGTCCCTCTTCAACCCTGGGAGTCTCAGCTCTGAAAATGCTCATGGTAGGAAAATTTGCAGTTGAACAACTTAGGGAGAAAAAGAGGGCCATGGGAAAGAGAAGGGTTACATGACCACAGAAAAACCTTTACAAATACTCGTATGGGTAGTCACATAACAACAGCCACACACTAAAAACATCATTTATTGCATACTTTATGTATCTGTAATGTATCCCCCTCTCTATCCAGGATTTTCCTCCCTCACAGCGTCACAAATACTTGGGGCTGGGGGCAAAGATGCAGACTATAAACATCCCCTGGAATCTTGTCCACGGCTTCCTGATTTTATGACCTCGCAGGGAAGATCCCACCCTGGCTCAGGGCCAGGAAGAAAGAACAGATGGGAAAAGATGTCGGAGACAGACCCCTTCGTTTGCTTACAGAAGATCAAAAACAGTCTTCCTCACCCTTTTCTAAGTTTTCCAAACCTGAAATTCTCTTCAGCAGATCTTCAGTTTTTCTTTCTCTAATTAGAAATGTCTCAAAATACAAAGAGCTCAGAAAAGGACGGTATTAGATTCCCAACTTCGTGTAACACATCATCTTTTCAAAGATGCAGTGGGGCAAGAAAGGGAGGAAGGGGATGCGTGAGGAAAGGACACCACATTTCGGCAGAGCTGGAAGGAGGGGTGAGAGGGCAATGAGAGAGACAAGAACTTCACAGGTGAATGTTGAAGGAACCTAAGTTTAAAAAAAAAGTTTTAAAGTAAATGAGATTACTCTATAGAACCACACAAAGTCCCCTGAGTGTCTGCAGTCAGGGAGGATTTCAGAGTGTGTTATGCAGAGTGGGGTGTGGAACAGCTTCCATGTTTCTGCCCGAGGATGGAGGCTTTTGACAAAAACTCCAAGGGTAGGTATTCTTCCTACAAAACACAAAGGACAAAGTGCTGATCAAGCAAAAACACAAACTAGCTAAGATCTGATTACATGTTCCTATAGCATCTCCACAGAACCTTTTTTTTTTTAAGCACACTGTCAAGTATTTAATCATTTTCGAATGAATGACTAATTCCTGTCTTCTGGATGGAAGCTCCACTGAGGCAGGGACCTGTTTGTCTTTTTATGGTATTATCCAGAGCAATCACCGACAATCATTCATTGGCCCACAGGAGGAGGATGCATACACAACTTTAGGAAAAATGTGGGAAGGACCTAGGGGAGAGAAAAATGACAAGGGAAGGCATTCCCCACTAATAAGCTACTCCCAGCAGGAATCTTCAGAACAGAATATTAGAAGGACTCAGGGCTTCCTCTGCCAATAATTATTACTTTTATATTGAAAACTGAAACTCTAAGCAGCTGCAGAAACAGAAACTAGAATTTTCTAGGAAGGGACTGGTTGGCACTGAACACAAAGTTCTAGCACCAAAACTTCGGACGGCCGGGATACCGGCCCATATTCTGACAACTTCCTGAGATACCCCGAGCAAAAGCCATCCAGCTGTGAGATACTCCAGAATTCCTGACAGTCAGGAACTGTTTGAGATAATAAATGTGTAGTTCCAAACCACCAAAGTTTGAGGTAGTTTGCTCTACTGAGGAGTCTTTTATAAGAAAATGACTATTTTTCTGGGCGCCTGGGTGGCTCAGATGGTTAAGCGTCTGCCTTCGGCTCAGGTCATGATCCCAGCGTCCTGGGATCGAGGCCCGCATCGGGCTCCCTGATCCTTGGGAGCCTGCTTCTCCCTCTGCCTCTCTCTCTGTCTCTCATGAATAAATAAATAAAATCTTTAAAAAAAAAAAAAAGAAAATGACTATTTTTCTACTTGATCTACTCATGTTATTGGTTAACCTTAGTTTCTCTGTGATTGAAATGAACCCTCTTCTTAGATCAGGCTCAAGACATGTACGCATGCACAGCCAAGAGCCACATTCTGATACTGGCCCTTGTTTTTATTTAATGTGGGTGCTAATCCACTGCCTGGGTAAGTGGAAGAAGGATGCATTATTACCTTGGCCTTCCCTATCACAACCCTTCCCCACTATGATCTGCAGCCCCTGCGGCTAGATGTAGTTCAGAATTCAAACTTTTATCCATTTCAGAAAAGGATCCTATCTATGTCACATCCTCAGGGAGGTCTGGGGCAGCAACTCATCATCAGAAATCAGACACATGAATATATTTCTGCAGTGAAATGTGTAATTATTCATACCAAACGAGACAATGGAAAACTAGAAAAAGCCTCGGGATTTTCCACTGTATATGTTCAGAGTAGGTTAGATTTTGTCACCAAGTACGGAGAAACTTGTTGTCCAGAGCTTTTGTATTTCAGAGGTGAATAATAGATGGTAAACCTCTACAAATTGTTCACTAAAAGCTTCTCTCCCTCATTTTTTCCCTTCATGTTTCCTCTTGTCAAATAGCTATGGAGAAATGCTTTCTTTAACTAGCTTGGATTTTCATCAATCTATTTCAGCAGTTCCCAAGCCTGACTGCACATTAGAATCACTTGGGGAGCTTTAAAAAACTACTGACCCTGAGCCCCAACTAAGTCAGCCTCTCTGGGGGAGAGCCCAGGCATCAGTACTAGCTGCTGTTGATGTTTCAAAGGTCCCTAAGTGATTCCAGGCTGTATGCAGGGTTGACAATCACTGCTCTAATCAATAAGGTATCTTAGTTTTCCCAAGACTCAACCTTTTAATCTTAGAATCATTTCAAATGGCAATCCATCTTTACTTTGTATGTTGTTCTACTCTAATTTAATTCATTTGTAAAGGAACATGGCCTTCCCTGTATTCTAGCTATAGAATTATGCTATAATCCAATCAAATGATAAGATTCAGTTACTACATCAGCAGTTTCATAGATACCAACTACTCAAGTACAAGGAAAACTGCAAGGACACTTTTTAAGAAGCTGAAACTTTAATTGAAAACATAATTGACTCAACATGCAAGAGCACTAAATAATTAAAAACACATCTGTAGCTTAGGGTATATTTGCTCTTGTGAATATTTACATAGATAGGGTAATTAAGGGACTAAGAAGACATTCCTCGAAACTTTCCCTCTCCCCTTGTTACCCATCAGAAACATGTTGCAATATTTTAAACTTCTTCAACAATCAGACTGTTCACAAAATAGCCCTGAAATTCAACAAGAGTAAGAGCCAGTCTTACTTCTAGCTTTTTGTCTTCTCTTCTCTTTGGCACTTTAATTGTGCCTTCAGCCCCCAAATCCAAATGCTCACGAAGTTTTTTTGTGGCAGTGCCAAGACTGAAGAGGCAAAAGAAAAGTGTCAAATGCAAACTCTGAGTGCCAGGGAGCATCTCTGGGACAGGTTAAATGAGAAGACATGGAGGAAGAAGCCCTTAAAAACCAAGCTGGATAGAATGAAGGTCATTTTGGGGAGACAGATCAAGTGTGGCAAAGTCTTAGCTAACCAGAGCATTGTCCTTACAAACTAACTTTGAATAAATCGCCAAAGATTTCCTAAAGGTTTCAAGTAAATCTATTTTAGAAACATTTAAATTTTGATACCATGATAGAAATGTTTTACAAACATAGAACCTATTTTCTCAATTTCCTCTATTAAATGTAAGAAGAAACATTATTCAATTCTCTTCCCTGTTCTATTCCCAAATATACTCACTTTTAAACCACTATAAAATCTTAAGCTAGTAAGGACATGAAGAACTCCAGAAAGAAACAAATATGTATGCTCCTTAATCAACACGCTTTGAGACAAGACACA